TGTAACAAATTTTGAACATGTGTTTACTCAAAATAATCTATTTTTCTGAGAGGTGGTTTTTGCTGTGACATGTCCCAAATGATACAAATATAGCACAAAATGAAATAGAAAGATTTGAAAGCTTCGTATTATTAAGGATTAGGGTATTATTACAATTCATTCACTAATCATCAATACAATTAATTAATTATTTTCGAAAATAAATTATCTTTTTTATATAGAGACCATATTTTGAATCTCGTATAAAATTTTTGAATTAAACATTTTAAATTTATAAGATAAAAAAGATGTCGAATTTTCACACGCATTGGTTCAATCATCAGTGGAATCCGAGAAAAGCTCAGTGGTGTTGACAATACAGTTCCAGAGCAAGCACCAGCTCAACCAGAAATCAAATCCCCCATCATAGAAGAAATTCGAAACAAGCATAATGGGGGACTATTTATTGGAGAAGTATTAAAATCATTCAAAAAGCCCATCGATATTATAAAACAATCTATACATTCAAGGAAAGGTAAGGAGAAGGAAATAATCCCAGAATCTCCTGCAGAATCAAGCAGTCGAGCACAAAGAAGAGAAGAGGCTAGAGCCCAAAAGAAGGCCGAGAAGAAAAAGCCTACAAAGGCTCCAGAAAAAGAAATAATATTCAGAGAGATAGAGTTATCTGAGTGGTTGAAAAAAAGAAAAATAATCGCTCTACACAGAGTAATAATACCAGAAGATAATGAAGTAAAGCATGATGAATTATTTATTGCTTCTAGAAAGTGTCAGAGAGAAAATCAAGAATGTTTTAAGATTAGAGCAATCAAAGAAAAAAGAATTCAATTTTCAATCTTATTACAAGCAACTACGGAGACAACTAGGATTGAAATGGGTGAAGATGATGTTACATATATTAGAAAAGAATCAGAAGACCACCCATACAAAACTACAATGGATTACATCTTGAATGAAAGTGATATTAATGATAGTCTTATATCTAAAGCTTTTGACGAAATATTACTTAAGATTGATGAATTAAATTTATGAAAGGATTATATATTGATGTTCAAGTAGCTCAATATAATATTGTCAGAGGAGGAAACTATATAAAGACTCCTAAAAAGCTTGCTAATACAAAGGGAACTATAAATCCAGATAATAGTAAAACAAATGATAATGAATGTCTCAAACACGCCATATCAGCTTTTAACGCACATAGAATTTCAGAAAGTAAGTTCTTTAGGTGGAAAGAAAAAAACAAATTATTTATGGATAAAGAATCCAAGTAAACTCATATTTTCCAAAACTAAGGACAGTAAAAAGAAGTATTTATGTACCGAGGTGGAATACTTCACATCAGAAAAAGTACTTAGAAATCATCAAAAGTATTGCTATGGTCATACAGATGCACCTCAATTTACAGAGCTTCCAGAAAAAAGTAAGAATGATAATGGAAAAGTATCAAAGTATATATCCAAAAAATTTTTTTTTGTATTACTGTGTTATGAATAACAAGAGCACCTTTATGCCAGAAAGATATTAAATCATATATGTTTATTTTTTAATCTTGATAAATTGTATATAATAAGAATCTTTTGAATAAATATTATTGTTAATTTTGTAAATTTCATCCATAAATTTATTATCAATCCAATTGCCGAATTTATCTGTACCAGGGTTGGCAAATTGACTGGTCCATTGAGAACTGATGGACTTTGAGCTGGTCCATTGCCATTACAGTCAGGATTATTACCAAATATGGAATTTCTAAAAATTGTAATGATCGGCATTCTAGAAATTGAATGGAAAATTCT